CCAAGATCTTAGGAAAGAGGAACGTGGCACAAACTCTCCAAGTAGCAAAGTAGGTACACAAATAAACCTTCAGTTGTTGACAGAGCAGGTATGAGAACCAAAGGAATACTTCAGTGAATATGTTTGCTGCACCCTTGCCAACACATTTGATTTTTGAAAAGGATGCTGAAGCAGTGGAAGGCTGCCTTTAAAAAGAAACAAAGGAGAAAGAGAAGTAGAGTCATTGCTAGGCCTGGGACAGAAACAGTCTTGAAACACTGAACATTTTCTTCGAAAATGCCTTTGGGAACATTGGCTGCTTCCTGATTCTTCTCTGACTCCCTGACTGGTGTCCTGCTCTCACCTCATTCATCCTTAGTAGAGAGTATTTCTGAACATGGTATCAGCCCTAATCAGTTATTACTCAATCATGTTGTTTAAACATGCAGGGAGGGGGACTGCGCTGGTCCTTCCTCCTCTGTTGCCGTTCTCATTGTGCTGAATGTGGGGAGGGCGACTTAGGGCTTCTCTCCATGAGGCGCTTATTGTTCATTCAAGGACGTTTCCAGAGCCTTTTCATGGAAGCTTTCAAGGGCCTCTCTCGGGTTTCCCAGCCACTTTCGCTGCTTTTTCGAGAATGAGGAAAGTCTACTCTTTTCCTTGAGCTGCCATTATTGGCTGCAGAAACCAAGTGTGTTTTTGCATTCCCACGCATTTCCACAGTACCACTTTGTGTTGTGTGATGAAGTGTATAGGAACATACAGAAAGGCAGAGAGGAAAACCACTGGAAACAAGTACCAAGGTCGTGTTAGTCCTCCCACAAAGAAAACGGAAGAAGCAACCTCGTTTCAGCCCTGGATTATATTCCTCGTGGGGAAGCTATTTGTGAAGATGAGAATCTCTTCTATCCATGGAGGCCTAGCATGCAATCAGGCCACTGGATAATCAGTATATGCGAAGCTGTGACTAGTGCTCTCCCCAACCTTTTGTGTTTAAGCAGTACATTTTAATCACAACAGAATAGTGCTGATACCTTTAGAGCTTTCAGGTTACTTGGAGGGGGCAGCATTGTGTGTGAGGTTTTATGGAATCAACATGTACAAATACGTGACATTTTGTTTGGTTATGTGCCATCAAGGCATTTCTGACATACGGTGAACTTATGAATGTGTACTTTCCAAATAGCCTGTCCCTGACAACCCTGTTCAACTCGTAAACTCAAGGATGCAGCTTCCTTTATGGAACTGAGCCATCTTATAATTGGTCTTTCTCTTCTTCTGCCTTCAACTTTCCCTAGCATGGTTGTCTTCAGTGATTTTTGCCCTCTCAAGGGGTGCCCAAAGTATGACAGCTTCCATTTAAATATTTTTGTACATGTACATTTTTATTACGGTCACAGACCAGAAAAAAATAAAAAAGAAAATACCAGTAGAAAAATTAAAATTCAGTTAAAACAAATACAATTTATACAATATTTTCACTGAAACAGGTGACTGCATTTATCCCGATCTGCATTGCAGAAATAAAACACTTGGCAACATTACCAGTAACATAAGAGGATACATCCCTTAAACATTTAGATACCAGAGTGGAAGATACATTTCCATAAAAATTGTTCATTAATGGTTCAATCAATTTCTCTCAGCATTCCCTGTATAAGAGAACATGTTCTCTTTCTTCTGCTCCAGCATCAGAGGAACATACCTGTCGTTCGAAGATTTTGCTTCCAGGGCAAGTTTATTATGTATTTATTTATTTAACTTGTATGCTGTCCCATTAGCCATAGGCTCTCTGGGTGGCTCACAACATGATTAAAACAATACACCTGGTCACAACATAAAACTAAACAATAAATACTAAAATGACCTTAATAAAATAAATACAATTATGCATAATAAGATCAGCATTGAAATAAAAAATGAAGTATGGCAGCAAAAGGCAGCATAAATCATTAAAAACTATTGCACAATAAATGAGGCAGCTCACCCACCAAAGTGCTTATGAAAGAGATAGGTTTTTAACTGGCACCTAAAGATGTAAAGAGTAGGTGCCAGCTGAATCTTGGATGGGAGATAATTCCAGAGTTGGGGTGCTATCATGGAGAAGTCCCTTCTCCTTGCTGTCTCCCCCTTAACTTAACTGGGGGGAGGGATATGGAGAAGGACTCTAATGACCACCTCAGCAATAAAGATAGTACATTTGTTCCCTCGGATGCCCTGTTCCCAAGCCATTTAGGGCTTTATATGTTGTTGTAAGCACCTTGAATCGGGCCCAGATGGCAATCAGCAGCCAGTGCAACCTAGGCAGGACTGGGGTGATACATTCACGAATACTTCTCCTGGTTAGCAGGCACACTGCCCAATTTTGAACAAGTTGCAATGCCTGTACTGTTTTCAAGGGCAGCTCCACCTAGAGCACATTGCAATAATCCAGGAAAGAGGCATGGATAGCTGTTGCAAGGCTCTGCTCGTCCAAGTAGGGATGCAGCTGATATACCAGCCAAAGCTAGTAAAAAGCACTCCTGGCTACCAAGTCCACCTGAGCAACAAGCGACAATTTGGGATCCAGGAGCACTCCAAGGCTATGAACTTTGTCCTTTAGGGCAAGCACAACCCTGTCCAGGACAGGTTGCAAATTCTCCCCAGGTGGGTAGACAGACTCCCTAACAATAGTATCTCTGTCTTATCCGGATTGAGCTTCAGCTTATTGGCCTGCATCCACTACTTTACCAAGTCGAAGCACTGGTCAAGAACAGAGGATGCTTCACATGAATTCGATGAAAACAAGAGGTAGAGTTGAGTGTCTTCAGCCCAAACTTCCGGATGACCTCTCCCAGCGGTTTCATGTAAATATTGGAAAAAATATGTGGGACAGGTTGTGGCTTGATTTGATCTAAGACCGACTTGTTTGTCTTTCTCTTGGTGTAGGGTATTTGTAAAGCTCTCCTCCAGCACCGTGTTTTGAATGCATCGGTTTTCTTCCAATCAGCTCTCCCCAGTATCCAGCTTTCGAGAGAAATATTTCTTAACTTGCCCAGCAATGTCCTGTAACCTCATGAACTCACTCTCCCCTCCTGTCCCTTCATTTAAAACCTGCAGCCTGTCAGATGTTTTCCACCCCAGGGTTCAGTTTCCTAAATTTGACAAGTACTTTCTCAGGATATTCAGTGCTCTGACTGAGATTAAATATAGATTTCTTTCTTTGTTTCTTTTTACATTTTGTGTTGAAAGCCAGTCTTCTTCAAAAAGGCAAGTCTGATGTGGTTCTAATTGAATTACTGTCAGCATGGAAATGAGTTGCCCAAATGTTATAACCTTGGCTAAATGTGACAATGTTAAAGTAAATTATAACTGTAGCAAAATTGGCTTATCTATATTAAAATGTGGGGAAGGGGAGAGTTTGGACCTAAATGGAGGACTTTCTTTTCTCCTCTATGGGTGAATAAAATGTTGCTGTTGAAGCAAACTTCTAGGAATGTGGGCATTTTGTTTCTAACCACTAGAAAATCATGAGTTCATCCATTTGATCATCCATTTTGGGACAGGCAGTACCATGCAGGGAAAGTGATTAGGCTGATGAAGAGAGAGAACCTGAGAATAATAAACAAGAATTATCTATCTTGGGCTCAAGCACAAAAGGGTGCACTAGAAGTAGAACATACATAGTTAACTTGTGATAATAAACAATGTTTGCAGCTGCAGAAGGTAAAGTTTACTTTGGCATGTGCAGAAAATGGCATATGCTTTCCATTTATCTTCTATTTCACCATCTTGGTTTTTGTTCTTGTTTTCTGTTCTTGAAAGCATAATCATTAGAAATCCTTTTAGGTATGTGGGCTAATTTATAAAAAAGACGCTTCGGGGTTACTATTAAGTAAAAGTTCCAAGACCAAACATGAAGCTTACCCAAATAAGATGTTATGTAAGGATGCTTAGTTAAACTATGGAATTCACCAGCACGAGTTGATAAATCTTGTGGCAACTTGTTGATATGACTTAACCAAGAATTAAGACAGATTTATTTTGATGATAATTAACAGTGGAGACTAAATTAATCCTAGGTGTTGAGGGCAAACAACAGGCCATGCCTGTTACCATCACATCTTGTTCATGTTCTTTGGGTGAGCATTATTTTAAATGTACCATGTTATGCTCTAATCCTAATAGTTAAATTTTATTTCAGGATTTCAATGCCAGGTTCTTGCATTTGATCCCAAGGAGACTTACAATGATGCCATGTTCAGACGTGATACTAAATCATGGTTAAGCATAATGCAGATGAGCTTGCATGACCGTTGGGATCACACAGTCTCTGCCCCCTCTTCTTTTTCCTCCTAACGGAAAAAGGGAGGCATGTTTTATTACCCTTTGCAGTGTAAATCAAATAGCCACAAATGTATAATGTTTTGCCTTGCCGTGTCTTGATTCTGATATGTTTGTGTGCTTGCATATGTATTTATAGTGGCTGGGTTTGCACATAACACTGAACCACTGGAGTAACATTAGATACAATCCATGAGCTGCAGATATTGGCCATTCTTTTCAGCATTCCCAACTGACTAGTATTCTCTTTTTCTAAACAGTAAATGCATCTTCTGTCAGGACATAGGTATTGATCAGTTTTGGTTTTGCTTTGCTCCACCCATGGCACATCAGGTTCAGACAAGTTCCTCCTTGGACCCAGTAGCCATGACCCACCAGGAAGGTCTTTCCACCAGGTTTATCAGGCTCTAGTCTTGGCCCAGGAAGTTCTGCGGTAGTTCTACCTTGACTTACCAGATTTTTTCCATCTCCTCATCTGAGCTTTGTTCTGTGGCCCCACTTTGGAATCTTGGAAATCAAAGATTGATCATCTTAATTCTTCATTATGCCATACCTTTTATACAGTTTCCCATCATTTTAACTTGCTTATCTTCTTGAGTGTATTGGGAAAATGCTGGGTTATTAGATAGATGGATGGATAGAAAGTTATTCTAATGATGCAGAATTAAATTGATCCTGTTCATATTCTTTAATTACAGGCTGTGGAACACTTACTCTTCTGTCTGCTATTACTGCTGCTGTCAGTGGCCTTCTGATGGGTTACGAACTCGGAGTTATCTCTGGAGCTCTTCTTCAGCTAACTAGCATACTTGCACTTTCATGCCAACAACAGGAAATCGTTGTAAGTGCTCTTCTCATTGGTGCCTTGCTGGCTTCTTTGACTGGTGGAATCCTGATAGACAAATATGGGAGGCGAGTTACCATTATGGTGTCGTCTTGTTTACTTGTGCTGGGCAGTTTGATCTTGATACTCTTTGCTTCCTACGGGTTACTTATAACAGGACGGATCGCAATAGGAGTTTCTGTTTCGCTCTCTTCAATGGCAACATGTGTATATATCGCTGAGATTGCGCCACAGCACAGAAGAGGCTTGCTTGTGTCTTTGAATGAACTCATGATAGTGATGGGGATCCTTTTTGCCTACATTTCAAACTATACCTTTGCTCGTGTTTCCCATGGCTGGAAGTACATGTTTGGCCTTGTCATTCCATTAGCCATTTTGCAAGCCATTGCTTTGTATTTCCTTTTGCCTAGTCCTCGGTTCCTGGTTATGAAAGGCTTTGAAGAAGCTGCTAGCAAAGTCCTTGCTAAGCTCAGGACAACTCCAGACACTACTGAAGAACTTGCTATGATCAGATCATCCCTAAAAGATGAGCACCAGTATCGTTTCTTGGACCTCTTCCGCTCCAAAGACAACATGAGGGCCCGGATGCTGATAGGAATCACTCTTGTGTTCTTTGTACAAATGACAGGGCAGCCAAACATCTTATTTTATGCATCAACAGTTCTGAGATCAGTTGGCTTCCAGAGCAATGAGGCAGCTAGTTTGGCCTCTACTGGCGTTGGAGTGGTCAAAGTGATCAGTACAATCCCAGCCACTCTTTTTGTGGACCACATAGGAAGCAAGACATTTCTGTGCATCGGCTCCTCTCTCATGTTTGTGTCATTAGGCACCATGGGATTGGTGATGCTTAATATACATGTGAATGTCACGACTGTCTGCAGGAACCAGTCCTTGGAAGATTCGGTGTTCCATGGAGTGGGAAAACTGCCCTCCACAAATGAAACGATTAAGGAGCAACTTGCAGGCATGGGTTCACCTCGTAGAAATTCGCAGTGGCGGGCCGGAATTGCTAGTGCGGAGGAGCAGAACAGGACTGCTCTGGCTGCAGGAAAGGCCTCTGCCACAGGCCAAGCAGAAACCCAGGTGGCAACAGGTGCTCTGGAAGTACAAGCTGCCCTGAAGTGGCTCTCCCTGGCTGGCTTGCTTGTTTACGTTGCTGCTTTCTCCATTGGACTTGGACCAAGTAAGTGTTTCATGTATTGTTCTAACATGCTGCCTTGTTCATAAACTGCTTTGATTGCAAAGTAAATACGCTCACAGGGATGCAACTGAATATTACAGTCCTTAATTTACAGGAAAGGCAAAGTCGCACAAGCAAAAGCTTGGCTCAGACACCCACAACAGTGCGATGTAGCCTTTCTACCAGGAATTGTGCCTATCAGCAAGTCTTTGCATGCACCAGGTGAGGGCCCTCTGGACAAGTCAGAACCCAGCGGTGTGCATTCAGTGACGACTTACATGGTGTTCTCTCCTTTTATTTAAGAAAATAAAAGGAGAGAAAAAAATTAATCCTTTTTTTTAATTTGCATTGTAGAAGAGTCTTGAACAAGTGGGCACCCATTGCATTCTGCTTGAATTTATATTTGCAATAAGGTCTCATGTAAGATAAAGCAAACAGCTTTTTGGTCTATTTTGCACTCATTACATTTGATTCAGTTCAGTCAAGCATCATGTTTGCAAACAGTTTCAGGCAATGACAGTAGTGTATTATCAGTTTAATAAATAAGTGTTGCTGAGCAGTTAAACATGAATTATTGGCTTTATTAGCTTAGTTTGGGGCACTTTGGCTTATGTCTCCTACAATCCTAATTCACCTTTGTTGTCATTATCTTTTGTGTCCATTGTGTCTGGTGTTTTAGAAAAAACAAGTGGGAATAATTTGTATGAAAAATGCATAATCTAGCTTCTGACCCCTGCCAAGATTCCCTATTCTTTATTTACACTTAAATTCAACCAGAATAACTATTCCTGTAAGCTGGAATTGTTACACATGCACCAAAGGAAGGTAGAAACTATCTTTTAAACATCATGTTGGTGTTCCCTCTAATTATGAATGCTGAGATAGTTAAAGTGGATTATTATTTCCTGACACGCTTCTTGTGCCTTTATTATTGCTGCATTGCAGGAAGAAGTTCAGCAGGTGTAGCTTTTCCTGTTTTGATGGAGATGTTGTGATGGGGAATAGTGCACTAGTGAAGTGTCCGAGAAAGGAGTAGCGCCTCTTTCTGGGGGAAAAAGAACAACTCTGAATACTTGGCCATTGTTTTAAGAGCTGTTATTTTTTTCTTGTGCCAAAACTCTGCCCAAGTTGCCTGCAATTTCCTATTTTGGGGCTCTTAGTAATTAGTGGTACCATAATATGATGACTCATTCATGATTTACTGTTACTTCAAGAAATGTCTGAGGCTTTTTGTATATGTGGAATATGTCTTTGTTTTAGATACATGTCAGGGCAGTATAAGTAACAGCTTCCATCTTAAAGCAAGGCAGCTGTAGTCCAAAAATTGGGCTTGTCTTATTCTGAATCATTTTAGATGGGAGCCAATGGGGACTTTGCTTTTCTTGTGCATAATGGTGGAAAAGTTGTCAGATTCTAATGCTCAGCAACTATGAACCAGACCTATGCAGTGGCAGAATTTGCCATATTGTTTTTTAAATGTGTATATTCTTTTCAGACCCACCTGATTAATTCTGATTCCTTGTGAAAATAAGGACACTCTAAAGTTCTGTAGAGGCTGAGTCTCCAGGCTGTCTTAGTATGAACAGAAATGCATTCCACTGAATTTAATTAGAACTAAGTTCCACAGACCTGCGCTGGGGGTTGCATGTGAGCAGCGTTTTGGGCAGCTCCTGGGCTCTCCACTGCCACACAACCTGCTTTTACCTAACTTGTCAGCTGCTTCTTAACAAATAAGGGCAACCATCTAATAAATCTCCCTTCTTATTCTCCCAGTAAACACTGTGGACTGGTGCACAGTCTGGAGCAACTAGCAGAAATGGTGTCCTCCAGTGCTTTGCCAAGTGAGGGTTTCTTATGCCTGGGCAGTGATCCACAAGGGACAGGAATAGGGATTACTTTTGATCATTTTGGCACACCGCAACCTCTAATCCAGGAATGGCAGACCTGAACTGTGGGCCCGGCTAAGCCAGGGGTTGTCCCCCATCCACCCCACAGAGCCTGCATGGTTTCCTCTGAGCTAGTAGGGGAGATTCCTCAGAGCATGGGCCGAGTGGACTGCATGGGGGATTTCCTCTGTTAGCCCTGATTGGAGATTGGAGGTGGCAGTGGGGATACGGGTACAAGCAAAACCGGGAGTTTGGCCAGTTCTGGGCAGAGTGGCTCCTCCCACTGTTTGGTGACTCTTCCTCTGTTGGCCTCTGGCTTCCCCTGGTGGGGCCTGGGAGAGGCATGCAGAGGTGCATCTGACTTGGCCAACTGGGACTTTGGGAGGGAGCAGCAAGTCGGCCGATGCTGAAAACTGCTCCTCCACAGATTAGAATCATTGGCTGTAGCTTCTGCCTCTTCCTCATGGAGCAAGTTCCATATTGCACTCATTCACCTCTCTGTTGATCCTGCCTTTGGAAATGTGTTTCATATTTTTGGCACTTCACTCTTCAAGACATTCTGACCTCATTACTTAGGGGATAATCCCTTTCTTTACCACCCCCCAGCTTTGCCCTTCTTAATAATTTGCTTCCTTCAAAGGCTTTCATATCCCCTGCTTCACTTATTCCCAACCTATAAGTCAGTTTAATCTTTTTTGATGCTGTTGTCCACAATGCATACCTTTGACAGACCCCTTCCCAAAATAATTGCAAATACTTCTACTTTCTAAAGCCTCAACAAGCTTGATCCTACTAAGCAGTGAAGAAGGAAAGTCAGGAAGCCGAGTTAATTCTTCACTATGGTATTTTGATTGCAGTTGTGCAGTGAACCTGCTACAGTGGCAAGGGCTCAGGTCAAAGAGAAAGTTTCCTCCATGAATGTCACAGGTACCATTTTCAAGAGATGACATGTTTTGTCTCATATCAGCACATAAACCTAAATCAGGGAAGTCAGTCACAACCTTTGGTTAGGAGCTTTTAGCTCTGCTCTGACAACTGCTTGAGAGTCAGTCCTCCAAGGTCATAGAGAATGACACTTTGTATAGGCATTCCTGGAATGTAGTTCAGAGACATACAGGAAGAAAGCCAGAGAGCTGCTGGTAAGGGCTAGAACAGAGCAAGGCTTATTCATCAGATCACAGAGAGAATAGGCAACTTTATTTTCGTATATCAGCCACAGATTAAAGTGTTCCATAACTGGCTTCTGAAGAAGGTATTGTCCTGCATTGCATCCAGGCATGGTCTGGACTCACCTTGGATCTGTCAAAGTCATAATGTGATAACTGTACAGCCTAGGGTTGAGCCTAGTGGACATCTTTGATCAAACATGATAGAGGTGTTGCACATGAAGGCCAGTGGGTGGACTTCATGCATTTGTTGGGGGAAGAGCAAACAATCTTGTCCTTGTGAGGCTGCTGTGAAAAAGCTATACTTTAGAAAAATGTACACTTCAGAAGTGCACATTTTTGCGCGGGAAACAAGTGCATTTTTATGCTTTAGTCAATGATAGAAAAGTATACATTTCTTAAGATAAAGTAAAATATACTTTAGTTGCCTTTCAGGGCATGAGCCCTTTCAAGGCCATATACAACAGTAAGACACATAATGAAAGCCAATGCCACTTTAAAGAAGATGATAAAATAAAACACAATAAAAACAGGAATGAAAACAGCTGCAACACCATGGTGCATACATTTTTTAAAATGCAACAGAATAAATGCTGCATTTCACATTCCAGCAGCGAGAAAATCAGCAACGGGACAAAGTTTCCAGTGAGAATGGAAACAAAGCAGATGGAGCTTCAAGACAGAACTCAGAGAATGCCTCTGAGCTCAAACTTACATAACTCTGCACTGTAGCTTCTTTGCTGAGTGCAGATGGACAGTTGCATCCTGTGTCAGAGTTGGTATTATTATTACTTTGCATTTATGTCCTACCTTTTTTCCTCCAGTGAAGAACTGGGTAGTTTACATAGCTTCTGTCTATCCTCACAACAACAATGTAATGTTAGGCTGTGTGAATCTCTGTCCTAAAGTCACCCAGCATGGCTTATGGCAGAGTTAGGACAAGAACCGAGATCTCTCGGATCCTGAATCCGACACCACACTGTACCAGCTCTCGGGGTTGTGCATGTTCTTTTGTTGAGCAGAAACCTGAGATTTGCAGCTGCCTGTGCTTATTGCAAAAGGCTGGCATCTGGTTACTGCTGCTACCCAAGGGGAAAGGTCCCTTTGGGGTTATTGCCACTTCCTGGAAGCAGTAAAGAAAAGCTATAACAATGCAAAAAGGTACAGATAAAGAAGACTGCAAACTGAATGTCTTCTCCATCTCTAGTCTATATTCAGTACTCAGATCCAAGATACATTTGAGCATTGAGAAGGTGCTGCCATCTTCTTGGGAAGAATTTTCCTTGGCCTTTGTGAATTGCTGTTTGGCTTTGATCTAGTTTCAAATTGTATTCTGGTCTGCTGTGCTTTTCACGTGCCCCCTGTCACATCTCCTTTCAAAGGACTGTGATACAGATACACAGCTGCAGTCTGGGTCATAAGCACCTTTCTGACCCTACCTTGCTAGAAAATAAGAAAGTCAGGAGGAGTTGAGGAGTGCAAGCACCACCCAATACCCATGTTACTTCTGAGTCAGCATGCATAGGATTGCTCTGTACATTTTATGGATATATGAAGTAGTACCATTCTGTAGGGTAATGAGGTTACAAGTGATGCATTTTATATTACTGGAGCAGTAAAATAGGTTCAGGTTCGGTAAGAAAGTAACTTTTGCATGTATTTCAGTGTCCCCCAAATTTCCATTCTTTCTTCCAGGAAAAGAAGTATGGGGGAAATATCCCCCAACTTCAGCATGTCCCCAAATGTCACATGCTTGGTCATTGGATCCAAAGGAGGAAGCAGCACTGCTCTGGCACATAGAAATATATGAAGCTGGATTATAGTGAGTTTTATCAGGCCAGGCACCAGCAATCCAAATTGTCAAATAATGGGTCTTTCCTGATTTTGGAGGGGGCTGTACTCACCCTGGCAGACCAAGCATGCATCTTGCAGGGTTTCCTGGACAAGGCGGTCTCTGTGATGGTGTCAGTGACTAGGAATTCCTTTCACCAACTAACCTACTACCTGCAACCCCATCTGGAAAAGGTGGACCTGGCATCAGCTGTAAATGATTTGGCTCCATCCAGACTGGACTACATCATGGGACTGTCTTTTAAGGTCATTTGAAAACAGGGATAGATGAACCCTTCTCAGTTTGTTCATGTCGCTTGCATGATTTCACATGCAAGCAACATGAAGTCCATGTCAGCATATGTGATCCAGCACATGTCAACCCTACCAGCTGTTTCCAGCTCCCAACTCTTTAAGAAAGGGTTTAAACTTTAAAAGACAGCCCACCTTGTAGGAGTCAGTAGGGGGTTGGGTTGCAAGCAGATCACTTTCTGATCCTTAATGGGATTTGGTGGCTGCAAATTTGCTATGGAAATGCAGAGCCTCCTCCCTGAATTCTTCAAGCTTCCCTATGTGAAAATTTCAAATGGTACAAAATGTAGCCTCCAGGATGTTGGCAGTGGCAGTAGCTGGGGTGGTGCAGGCATTCTAGGCATATAGCTGCACGTGTGTAACAGTTGCACTGATTGCCCTCGAGAGCCTGGGACCAGGTTATCTGAAGGGTTACTTGCCCCCATATGGACCTGTCCAGGTTCACACTGACAGACACTAGAGACAGAGTCTTTTCAGTGGTGGCCTTGTAGCTTTTGAATGTTCTTCTGAGAGAGTTGTGTACAGATTCGCCTTTGTCAGCTTTTCAACAGACATTGCTGAGGGTTGTGCATTGGGTTTTTTAACTGTTCCTTTTCAGTTTTGAAATGTGATTGTTTTATGTTTTAATTAAATGAATTCCTTGACCCTGCTATTTGAGGCTACTTAAGCTGGAGAAATTAGGGGTGAAACCGGGGACTTTACATGTGCAAAGAATGCAGACGCAAATATATCAGTGCATGAGAAAGCTTATGTTTGCACAGAGACTTTCCCATCATTTCCTGCCCCTTGCAACTCCAACCTTACAAAGCAGCTTTTGAAGGTACATGGGAGCAGGGAGTGGGTGGCTGCAGGGAGAATGGACCCTACAGATGCTGGGTTCACTGCATACTACCCTGTCTTCTTCCACTGTTCTATGAATAGTCTGTGACTGGGTTCAGACAACACATTCACCTACTACACTCCAGGGTTCAGCATGGGTGATTGCTGAACTGTGGATCATCATTAAAAATGAGGTTATTGTGTGGTTTGAAGCCAGCCAATATAAAAGACCATGGTGAACAACCATAGCTGATAACCCAGCAACAAACTATAGGTTCTCTTCATGGATTGTTTGTGCTTCACAAGTCATGACTGGGTTCAGACCACACAATACACCATGTTTCAATAAGCCATACTCAACCCATACTCAACCCTTGAGTGTGGGTCTCACATTGTCGGAAGCCTATCTCCATGAAGCCCCTGCCCCACACATGTGTAGGGTTTGACTTTCGTCTTGTGAACTAGGTGCAGGAAGCATCTAGATATATCTTCAGCACTGGAGTGGCACCCAGGTTTGTAAGCTCATGTGCAAACTGTAGCCAGACCCATAGGTCTTGTAGCTCCTATCCAGGTCTCCCACAATCTTCCAATGGTTCTGCCCCATTGCCTCAGGTGCCCCCTTCCCCTAAATACAGAAGGGAACAATAAGGCACACGGTCAGGCCAGAAGTGTGTAAAGACAGACATCAAACAATGTTAAAACAATATCTTCTTCTTAATTTCAGTGTCCTGGCTGGTACTAAGTGAAATATTTCCTGGAGGGATCCGAGGAAGAGCAATTGCTCTAACATCTAGCGTGAACTGGGGTGTTAATCTACTCATTTCCTCAACCTTTCTGACTATAACAGGTAAGGGTGGTTTGATGAGCGTTACTGACCTTTCTGCTTGTGGGTTATAATCCTCTGAAGAGGCAGAAATAAAGCTGTTATTGTAATTTATCAACTGAATGCTGAGAAACTGGTGCTTGCTGTTGTTATTAGGATAACTTGGGCTGTTTCCAATATGCTGGAAGCAGACATATGCTGATGTGATATGCCATCCCCATCCTCACCGCCTCCTTGAGCCCTTCCATCTGTTCCAGAAGGTTGGGAAGCACTCCAAGAACAGATACGGGGAGCATGCAAAGGATCTCTTCCACCAGCTGGGTCTGTTCCACTGGTGGGCAGATGCTGTTGAATACGACCCCTTCTGTGGACATTTCCTGCATGGCCTGATGGCACTGCCATACATGGGTGACTTAGGGGTTTCCTAGGAGCCATGGTGTGCCTCCTCCACCCCAAGGAAGTTGAAGAGGCTCCGCATAGTGCACCCAAACCACTGTGAAAGAGCCAGTGTGCTTGGCAAGTGCAGCAACTGACTGGTGAGCATCCAACACAGAGCCCGGTCAGAGCAGACTTCCCTGCCGTACTGACAAATGAGCCTTCTTCATGGACTCAGGCCCAGTCGCGTGTGCTTTAGTGCAAACACACTGCACGGTATTTCTCTCCTTAAGCTGCAGCCCTGCCAAAATGTGGATTGCTGGGCTTTGTCATAAACGTGTCGCAACATGAATGCATACTTCTCTGCCTCAAGCAGGCACAACAGGTCTCCGAAATGGTCCTGTGTGACAGGTGAAGCAGCTCAAAGAGAGCTTTTCTTCCATGCCGAGACCTTTTCATGGTAGAATTTGGGGGCCAACCTGGCAGTTCCTGAATGCAAAGAAAATTCTGATTTGCAACCATTTCCATTCCCAGAATAATTCTAATTTCTTTCCATTTGGGTGTGATTCCCCAAGGTGTGTGGTCAGTAGAATAGCTACAAGAACAAACCTGCTTGAGGGGAGAATGTGCTGTGTAGATGAATTTAAGCTTACCTAAGTATTCTAGTTGTGCTGGTGTGTGTTCCCAAGGTATAAATGAAACCTGTTGAAAATACTTATTCTTTTGCTAAGTAGCTGCATGCCTTAATTTCACGTTAATAGCCTCTAGCAGTTCTTGTGGCAGTCTCAGATTACTCGTCTAACTGGCCTGAGAGTGATTCCCATAATTCTGATTCCAATCATCTTTATTTATTTATCTCTCTGTTTATTAGATCTAATTGGGTTACCATGGATATATTTCATTTATGCACTGATGAGCGTAGCATCATTAGCTTTTGTCATTGTCTTTATACCTGAGACCAAAGGGTGTTCCTTAGAGCAAATATCCATGAAACTGGCAAAACAGTAAGTACAACATAATTCCTATATAAATTGCATGCTAAGAAAAACACTGTATCTAAGTGATCATTTAAATGTGAGTAAAATACTGGTGCACAAAATACAGGTGAGCAAAATTGCTGTGACTGTCGAGTACAGATGGGAAGGGTGGATTGAATTTGCTTGGTTGTTTCAGATTTCCTTAAGCAGGCAACGTCTGCCATCTAGTGGGCAAGTGTGGTAAAATGTTTGCAGCAAAGGAAGGGGCCTCCAACAAATTGTCATAATTGCCGGCTGTTTTTTTGTTCCCTTCTTTTGTTCAAAGTCTATATTATTATTATTATTATTATTATTATTATTATTATTATTATTATTATTATTATTATTATTATTACATTTCTATGCCGCCCCTTGCTGAAGCCTCGGGGCGGCTTACAACACAACACAACACAATACAATATAAAAATAACAATATAAAATTAAAATTAATAATATAAAATAAATAAAAAATATAAACGATATAAAAGAAGTTATAAAAGAAAAGAAAAGAAGTCACCCATTATAAGCAGAAATGATGGATCTGTAGTGGTTTTCCCTATAGTGGCTTCAGCATTATGAAATGTTTCATTGAAAAGGCCCATCTCTACTCAACTCTGTGAACTGTAAAAGCAAAACCAAAGAAGTTTATGCATTCCTTGATAGCAGTGTTCATGCTTCTGTTGAAGGGAAGATGTACCTACAGCTTCTGAGGGTACTGGCTTTCTTTTTAAAGAAACATGAGATGAGAATATTTTATATCCATGCAGTGTACCATTAAGCTAATTGTAAAATGAGTAGAACAGTGGCACACTGAACAGCAATTTGTGTAATGCTTTTGCAATGACCATATTTGAATATGTGTATTCTTACTCCTAACTTTTTATATCAGTCTTTCGCAACCTGGTACCTTCCAGATGTGTTGGCCTTCAACTGTGCCCTTGCTTTCTGGGAATTGTGGAATTACTGGCAGAGGCAGGGGGCCCATTTGAGCAGATAATGCATACCAGGTTTTGCCTGATATATATGGAGATTTGTCCTAAAGGTAGGGCAGGTATTGAATCTCACCTTTGCACAGCCATGTCCACTTTTAGAAAGTTAAAATGGTATGAATCTTTCTGATCAAAATGGGATCTTGACCCTTGAAAAAGTGGCAGGCTGCCCATCCCAGTGTGCATTTTGCATCCCTTGCAAAAACAAGCAAACCACAAAACAACTAAAACAACTAAAAGAAATCAAAATTCTGCATGAACTCATAAAGTTTAAAGTGTTCAGGTTAATGATGTCAGTCTCTGTACCTGCCTGCATAGTTACACACTAAGCTATCATGTCAAGTCACTTTTGCTAAGGTGGAAAGATGTGGGCAGGTACTGCATGTGGAAATGAAGCAGAAGGTCAGACTTGATGGCCTTATAGGACCCTTCCAACTCTATTTCTATTCTATACTGTAATTTGAATAATGTATTCTTATGCAGATGAAAATAATGCTTTTCAAATCTTAGACTTAAACATGTTATGAAATGTGCCATTTAATTTTTGACAAATATTTCATATAAGAGTGTCACCTAGACATTTTGTAAGTTAAATTGTTTAATTTTCTATGTAATATTCTATGTAATATTCTAACTAATTAATGTAGTATGTGTAGTACACCATTTCAAACATTACAACTGAATAAGCTTCTAAACTCATAACTGTCATTGTCTAAAGAGATAGAAATGTTTATAATGGATTTTTAAAAAATTACTTTGAAATGTATCCTCTCTTCCAGAAAACATGCAAAGTGTACTTTTTGCTGGATGGACCAACATAAGGATCTGCTAATAGGATCAACGATAGAACTTTCTAAAAGAGAAAACCACGGCAGAGGCAGGTTCATGTAGCCAGTGCTAGAAGAGCGGTCTTTCTCGGAGGGCAAAGCGAGAGAACACTCAAAAAGGGTGCCACTACAGTCATATGCTTATACAGGGCTTAAGCAGTCATATACAGGTCTCACTAACAGTGGACCCTTATACATGTCTGAAAGTTTTGCACATTAGAAGCACAGACCACTCGAATATCACTTTCTCACTACTGAAAGAGAAACTGATGTAATAGTCTTAGAAATACTGTGCAAAAAACAACATGCACATCAGAGAGTTGTGCATGCTTGGCCTTTAGAGGGCTTAAAAGAAGGGATGGAGAATAGGGCAGCATTCAGTTGTTGTTGGACTGCAACTCCCATCACACCTATGCTGTGACTGATGGGAACTGTAGTCTGAGTACACATGGAGAGCTATATATTCCGTCTTGGTTCAGTGACTGTTTTCATCAAGGGTCCTGCAATTGTAAAGCCTTGCAGTTGTGCAAAATGCATGCAGCATTTTAAAAAATAGCCCTCAGACCCCTCTTGCACTTAAAATAGATGAACCCCTGCACCATTCCCCAATGTGATTATTCAGAACCATCACAGCAGCTTCACCCGTTTTCATTTTGTCCCCAGTGAATTGGTGAAAATGGAAGAATCAAAATATTTGGGACAGTGCCAGTTGGCATTACTTGAACAAGTTTGCTTGAATGCTATCCTTTCTCTTCAAGTGTGGCTGTGAGGTTGGATGTCCTGATTGGAACATTTTTGTTACATCTGGACAAGGAACCATACTTGTTTAAACTATGGTTTATTGAAGCAAGTCAAGATCCAAAACCACATTTTGATTTGAGGCTTGTTTCAATAATCACAATACTTTAAACTAATCCCTAATTGTCTTAGTTTCAGTTCACTGAAGTTAGTTTAAACCAGGAACTGGATGCGTCTTACTTCCCCCTTCTTGCCATGTCAGTAGAGTAGAATGGAAGTAAGCGCATGAGTCCAGGACTTACTGAGTCCTGTTCTTATCATTTCTAAACTCTGGTTAAGTGTTAAAGTCCAAAATATGCCTCTCACCTATGTCTTAAAATACTATGTAAATTTCAGACTTTAACCATTCTGATTTAGGCTATGGGTTCTCTAGCAAGTGTAAAGAAAAATCAACTCTGTTTCAATAATGGAGCTATTAGACATACTAAGTCTTTTTTTAAAATGTTGATTTCAGAACTGTTGCTAGTTTTTTCAACCATTAAGGTTGAGCCTTTTGCTTTTTTTCTACTCAAATTAAAAGAAAAACGTATAGAAGCAAATCCTCTCACATGTGAGAGGATTAGAGCACCTGACCCATTTAAGGTTGGATAGAAATCAGAGGACTGCCTGGGATCTGACAACGTAACACACACTAAGTGGTTGCATAAGGGTTATCATTCAACAGTGGGTTACTATTACTACATTACAGTTATACCCACGGTGGTCTATGAGGTTCACCTCTTCACTTTATCCTCACAAGAAGCCTGTGAGGTAGGTTGGGATCCAGTGACTGGCCCAAAATCATCAATGGGGCTTCATAGCTAAGGGGAACTAGAATACAGATCTTCCAAGACCCAATCCAACACTCTTAACCACTAAACCACACTGGATTTTTCAATAATGGGCTTATCATGTTGTATGAGCCTAGCTATCCTAACAGGACATGGCTTGTTAACCACAAGCGATCCATGAAGAGACCATGGTTTGTTGTTGGGTTGTCATCTGAGTTGTTCACCATAGTTTATCATGACAGGGTTCAGGCAGGATTAACACGTTTCAACAGCATGGTACAACTATCAACATCGAACAATAGAGTGTGAGTTATCATGTTGTCTGAACTCAGCCAGAGTAGATATTAGTCTGCTGGGTTTAAACAATCATGCTGCTGGGGTCAGAAAACACAAGTCACTATGCTTTATTGTGTTGTGAGAACCCAGTTGATGAATGCTTGTAAAACATTTCAAGTTCAATTATTTGATATGAAGTGGCCCTTGTTGACTGTTCAGCATCTGTGTTCCCAACAATTATGCTAGTCCACATAAATTACAGGGATATCTGCATGCATAATTTCATGTGGAAATTTTCACTTATCCTGAACATAGGTTACTTCCCCCTTTTATGGCAAAGCTGATTCCCAATGTTTTAGTTTCTCAGTAATCCCCTGCTTCTGTCCCTACCTCGAAATTTGGGGCTAGAAAGGATGGCAAGAACTGGTTTGTTGCCAAGGAAGTCCAGGTGCCTTGTCAAGATAGTGGCAAAATAACCCCAGCCTTGTAGAAATGCTTCTTCCATTCTGCAGCTTTTTTGGTTTTGTTCCATGTCCCACCATCAAATGCCTGCTGTCAAGCAGGTATTACCTGCATGGACTAGCAATTTAATTTTATGGCAAGTAATTGTCTAAAAGTCTGAGTCAGCAAAATTCATGTAACAGCTACAATGACAGAAGGCATCTAAATTTTTGTTTAGGAAAGAAAATGTATTATTATCCTATTGTCCTTATCAGTCTCATGCTATTTAGAAGTGTTTCATAAAAATAAAAAGACATACTTTCAATAAGATTTTATTTACAGTACTCAACAGAGTTTATTTTAATGTAAAGTTCGAAACTGGGAACTGAATGCATATTGCTTGCAATAATCATACCTATATTCAATTTACCTTTTGAGGCTTAGCTATGGGAAAGAGACATGGCTGCATTTTTACATATTTATTGTAGAAGGCAATAGTAGTATGTTCATTTAGTTAATGATTAACCTCTCATTTCTTCCATATGTAGATGTATTAAAAGATTCAATTGGCCTTTCAGATCCCAAGGTTACATGCCAAAGCCAAGCATTCTTACTTGCTAGCATCTTTAAAAAATATAGAACAGTACTATAGCAATACTTGGCAAATACTGGACCATTCTTTAGAAGTAGCTTAGGATTGAAAAAATACATTTTTCCTGAAAACTAATATCATTCACAAAGTAATTCACAGTACAACTTTAAAACAAAATGAAACCCTGCACCTGGACTGCAAATTGGATAGCTGATTTTACTAACATCAAATACCTCCAAATGGAAGCTTTTCTCTTTACTACATACAGTCTTCATGAAAGTCTGTTATGATGCAGAGTACATTCTTATTCAATATGGCACAAAGGGGATCATCCAACTTTGCATTTAGTTACAAATATGCTATAATAAAACCAGATTCTGCCCTTGGGACACACATTATCTCTCATTCATTTCACTCTAATCTGCTACTGATCACTTGAGTTACATACACGCACGCACACTCTCTCTCTAAAAGTGAAACAAAATATGAGCAAAGGATTACACTAACATTGTTCTAGTTACTTCACCAATATACAAGTGTTAATAGAAAAGGGAAAAGGAATGTAACAGAACCGGTATGAAGAAAGGTGTTGCAGACTTTTTATTTGTGCACGTTTGTCAGGTGAAAAAGGTAACGTCTACAGCTTCTTTGGTGCCCAACAGTCAGCATACAAAATGTAAAAGACTATTCACAAATAAAAACACAAGCTCAACCTAAAGAAGTATTTCCAAAGTTAGTGCATATCATGACAATTCTGCTTACGAACACACAGAAATTACTGCAGAAATAAATAGAATGTCTTGTAAAAAGCAGCAATTTCATATCTTGTAAACTTTTGTTTTTACAATACAGCATTGTTCAAAATAAAATCCAAAAGGTACTGGAGTTTATCACTGTGGCCAAAATCTGCACCTCCTCAGCTGTGTTGGTCCAGTTGTCCTTTTTCCCCCCCCCACCTTCTTCTTTGCTTTTAGTCCAATGTACAGCAGTCTTATAAAAGGTGCTTGGTTAGTTCACCTAACCGTGAAGTGGCAAGTTATAAAATTTCTTTCCTGCTTTCAAACACAAATGGATAGATCTGTTCCACTGCAGTGGCAACAGCCTTTACATTTGGCCCTAGGGAAAACAAGAAAAAACTTGAGAAATTATCAAGATAAATACAAAATCAAATCCCTAACGGTCCAATCCCTTGATTTGAACCTAACACTTAGAAAAATATTTTTAATCCAGTATTCTAAAAGTAGCATTTTCCAAATAAGGCTGCTGAGGCAACAAGCACCTTCCATTCATACCTCATCCATGGGCACACATCCAACACCTCACCATGCCCATCTCCAACATTTCTTTGCTGAAGATGGGAAAATAGAGCAGCCAGAAGTATAAACAGGAGAACAGAGACCCAACATCAAAGTAATATTCTTTTTTTCACTGTCTGAACTTCGTACTATAAAAGCAATAGCCTGTTAGCTCCAAGTGGCAGTGGCTAGCACTGCAATCTATAATCATTACATGGCCAAACTAGATATTTAGCCATTTACCTTTCCTTTTTAATTTTTTTAAATTACAAGAAACTCAACACGATCTACCCTCTCTAGTACAACTAGAATAAAAATGCACCCCTTTCAGCATGTCTAAAATGTTTAGGAAAAGATGTCCCTACTGGCACTGGTGGGAACTCCTCCTCCTCCCTCCTTGCCACATGCGAGGGGTTCCGTGCTGTTCATGCTGGGAAAGGAAGAGAAAAGCTGCTTCTTCCTGTATACTGCATTCCCAGCAAAGATCACGTGCCCTCCATAGTTAAACCCCCACAGTTAAAATAAAAACAGTGGCAATCACACACTATGCATTAGCATACTGTGCAGTTTGGCCTTCAGTCACCATTGATTTATACTGATGGTGTCCTATCAGGTGGCTTCGATCAGATGGGACAACTTAAATCTAAGTACCTTGACTTAAATATGTGACAATCCTATTTGCTTATGAGTTAGCTCATTTTACCTACTGTTCACCATAGAACCAATTATAATCAAGCCCTTGCTTTTAATTTGCTTGACTTTCACCTGCTGCTATAATTCTTTCAGACTGCATGGCCACATAGAAATTCTGACTGATTTAATGGAAAGCCATATATATGCTTACTGTGTCTCCTACAAAAACATTTAATTACCTGAGCTCCCACATGAAGAAAGTTACTTATTCACAAAAGGTGAATACCTGTAACTGTGATACTTCCTGTTGAAAAAATCTGTAAAGTAGCTCTGAGAGATTTTATTCTGTAGCACACTGCAGGATGAAGTTCTGGTTCATAACTAGGAAGTAGAGTCAAAAGTTAATTGAAAATAAGTGATAAAATAAAAATGGAAAATAGAGAGAGAATTGATTAAAATCTACTATACCTAGCATGGGGTCTGTTGTTTTTTGTGAATTCTGGCAATCTGATTTCAAAAGGCATGGTGCATACTGCTAAAACATTGACAACTTTAAAATCTGTAAAAATCACCTTTTTAAAAGGAAAAGAAGTGGAATTATTAGAAGCTATTTAAAAATATTCACACACATTTTTGTCTCATTTCAATTGAAAGGCCATCAATGATTTACTACAAAACTGAAACAAAGTTCCGACAAAACAAAGGCATTTAAAATTCTATTATGTTCAGAATGTTATAACTGGTCTTCAGTCAATTACCTGTAACCATGTACATTTCAATCACCTGAAAACTTAAGTGGGAAAAATAATTTGCTAGGGACAAAATGTTATGTGACAAAAGCACTGGTGTGGGGGTTACCATATTGGCCTGGGACTTGGGAGATCAGGGCTTTAGTCTCAATTTAGCCACAGAACTGGTGACTTTGGGCCAGTCACTGACTCTCATCCTAACCTACTTCATAGGTTTCTGTGAGAATAAAATGGAGATGAAGAACATTACATAAACCACCACTTTGGGTTCCTTGCAGGAATAACGTGGTGTGCATGCATGCATATTTTCTACTGTGGGAGACTAAGTTAAGCACATGGGTCTAAAATGCTGAAGTGGAATGTGTCCACTACCACAAGAACCTTTTTGGAGAGGATATTAATTTCCAGTTGTGTGAAATTTACCGACATGAGTTAAATTAACCAGCTTTGCATAGTTTACTCTAGTTGCTGGAATGGGTGTTAAGCAGCATCAAACATCTAGAAATAGCTATCTTTGTAATCAATTGTTTCACTCCACAGAAACAATTTTAATAGGAAATGTTGACTGAACTCACAGGAGTAGTAGCTATCTTTTAAAGCAACTGTACAGTTCTCTTTTCACTCTTAGCAGCAACTTATCTCCCTTGCCTAGGTAAAAACGGCTGATGCCAAGGCAAATGAGAAGCTAGACTGCTGCTTTTCAAAAGACCATGCAGGGCTTTTAAAATAAGGAATGGTATGGGAGAGCAGTGAGTGTGACTCCTGCTCCTCTCTCCCCTGAAATGGTGGTCAGTGAAGCTACAGTAAGCCAGACCACAAGTCCACACCTGCCAATCATTCAGAATGCTGAAGGCACTCCCTCCATTTCTTCAGAATTGCAAAATCCACTTGTGGATTAAAAGGACAATGCATGAACCAAGGCCAAACTATGGGACTCTTATAGAATGGGGTCACCAATGTGCTGGTTATGGGAACCAATGTGCTGGCAGTCACTTCTTTGGTGCATGCCACAGAGTATTCCTGGGTTATTTAGCAAACTGGAAATAGATGAAAGCCAGCACACTCAGTCGTGCCCACAAATAACCCATGCCTTGTTAACCATAGGTTCTGTCAACTGTGCAAATTGGGTCAAGGAAACAGGATACTATTTAACAGTGAACCAGCCTAATTTATGTCAATGGAAGAATTACCTGAAAACCTAGTTTCTGCAGACTACGGGCTAATCGTCTGGCACCAAATTTAGCTTCTTCTTCACTGAAGAAGAATAAAGAATAAAGAGTTGAAGAATAAGCAAGGAACTGGTTAAGATGTTTACAATTAACATTTAGTTCTTTAAAAGTGATTTTATAAGGAAGTGAGTAATAAAACACACAAATGGAAATATACCTTGTAGCTCCTGTGCAAATTACTTTCCCTGAGGACCAAATTGTAGCTGTAATCCTGGGCTTTCTAAGCTTCATTAATACTTTCTGAAATCAGTGAGGAAAAAAATAGAACTTAGATGAAGAAGCTTTTTAATGTACAAGCTGCAGGAAACATTGTACTCCAGGTCTAAATGTTGTCATATTGCTAAAATTCATCATAAAATGTTATTGTCAAGCTGATGTTACTACCCTGAAAGTCATCTAATCTCATCATGGTTTTGTTCTCATTTTTAATCTTACCAAAAAGGTAGTAACATTTTAGATATCCATTTCCTCTTGTATTAGCTACATTTTATACTGTCTATCTCACACGTATACTTTTCTATATGCACCTCTAACTTTCTGATAGGCAATTCTATGAAGGTAAAAACACCAAAGGCTTCCGCTTACAACATTAACAGACTTCTATCCCTGCACAAAGTATTTTATGAAAAATTCTTTCAGCCACTGAACCATCCCCAACAGCTACTATTTTAGCCAACTGGGACAAAATCCAATATGCATTCTTGATAATGGCATACAGATGATGTCACTGACACAATAAGATACTCTTGCAAATTTTGCACTTAGAATATCTACTGTTCATTACTGTTTACTGCAGATGTTTTGGGCTTTAGCTCTCATCATCTCAGCATGGCCAGTGGGCAGAATGACTGGGAGCATAGGCCAAAACAACTGAACTGCACCAAGTTGGGAGGGCTGTTATAATACATGTTTTGCCTGCATAAAGAATTATAATTATTTAATCAGTGTAAACAACATATAATCTATAGGGATAACTGTCTAACTCCTCTCAACCCTAAATCTTTTTAATTGATAGGTAATTATTCCTAGGTTTAAAAAACGAAATCCCCAAGCTAGTATGTACAAAACACACTGTTAAAATCCCTATACACATATTTTCAAGATTAGGCTACACCTGGGAACAAGTTGCACTAAATTAATTTACATCTGAGGGATATCTAGCATTGCTACCTTAGATCTTTTTTCCTATTTGATCATTTTCTCTCTGATCTGATCAATATTGTCACATGTAAGCACGTGCTATTTTCCTCAAACCTGCTCTATCTAAAATAATGGCATGACCCTCATATAAAGGCATAAATCAACATAATGCATGGAAACTAGAGGTTTTAGGTCTCATAGACATTTTTAAATGAACATACTGATGTTGGACAATATCAGCTATAATAATGTTAAATTCAGCAGCTTACAAAGAACAAAACCCAAATTCCTTTAATTCAGATCAGTGAAATACAAAATGCTTTGCTGCATAGAAACTGCATTTTTCAACACAATCTATGTCCAATGATATGCAGAAACTAATTTGTGCATTAGCTCTTAAATTGAGATATTATGACTTACACCAACATCACGTTTGTATATCACATTTGCTCCCTCTAATGCAATCTTTCGCAAGTTTAAATGACATCTTGTTCGGAAGACACAAACTACATTTGTGATTAAGATGTCCAATGCAACATCACTGTCTGCATCCATTGGGGTGACTTAGAACACAGATTCCCACCACAACACCATGAAAGATCACATCCTGAGGAGAGGGAAAGGTATACTGGTTAAACAGTTACTCAGCTAAAAACCTTACACTTTGTTTCAATCCTGTAAAAGAAGGCATCATTTGAAAATCAAGACAAATATATTTTCTTCAATGGACAAAAAATACATATTACTGAAAATGTCTCACATATTTTAAGGATTTGTGAAACCTATCAATTTTATTTTTTTAATCTATTGGCTGCAAGAACTTCTCTTGTACTCCTGTATAAGAGATACACATTCCCTTTTTTAATATGATGCAAATGTGATCTATTTCCAAGGGACTTTACAGACCTGTCTTGGAGTAGTCCATGAAAATACTTTTCCTGAAGCAGAGAAAGTTGCCCCTCAGTGTAACCAAGGTGAGGAACATAGGTTATTATTATTATTCTGATCTAATAAATTATTTACAAATTACTAAGCATCTGTTATATTTACAAGTTATAAGCAATCTGGGAAACAGAAACACACGTGATTGTGAATGCATATTTTTTCTGGCTTCCTCTTAATATGAGATAGAGAATAAAGGGATGCATTCATTGTGAAATTCAAAGTCCTCAAATGACACTTGCAGTTAATACTATATGCTAACAGCAAAGTACATACTCTCCTTCCTCTGCTAATGGAGTTGTACCACACTTCATTTGGACCTAGTCGGGAGTTTGGCTGACAGCTGATGACATCATGCCCCAAGGATACTGCAAACCTGAGATACAGATGGGGGTTGGGAAAGCACATTTAAACTGGGACTGCATCCTCCTTCTCCAGGAGTGAGCTGGATCTACTAATCAACCAGAAATCAAAGAAGACATTTCTTGTGGCCAGTGTTATGGCAGCTTAATGACAGCAAGCAAAATTACTTCTAAGCACATATAATGTAAAAGGGAATTCAGGCTGGTAGTAAAATTGGGAAGATCACTCTTCATCCTACCAACATAACCCTCCCCTCTGGTTTAATTTCTAACTGCTGTTCTTTATCCATAAACATCTTGTCTACGTACTACTACATCTGGAAATAAAAGGACATATCTGTGTTATGTGACACTTTGCAAAAACTGAAAGTCATATTTTAGTTTGCTGTCATTAGATGGCAAGCAGAGGAGAAAAATAAGCATAATTCCCATTATGGATTCACAAGTGAGGATTTCATCTGAGAAATACAGCATGTTCTTTTAAAAGACTGCAGAAAAGAAGCTCACAGATCCCAGTTTCAACACCAGTCTGGCAGCTGGGAAATGGAAAGAAAAGTACTCTAGACAAATCTTGCACTGGCAGAAGGTGATGACATAATTTTATGAGAAATGTACAGTGAGTTGTGAATGTATTTTTCTTGCAAGTGCTCTATCTGTGTCAGCCAACAGATGCTCACTAAAGATATTAACCTTTCTAACCAAGGGATTACTGCAATGATCTATTCCCAAGCCTGGACACCTGGAAACATATATCTAACATTCTTCCTTGCTATGTGTTCAGTGCTACACAAAGAAACTTATGTAATTTTTCCCCAGGGTGCCATCTCAAAATACCAGAAGACAAGGAGACAAGTGGTAAGAACCAGCAAGGTCTAAAGCACCACTTTGGGATACATTTAAAGTTAAAATAAACTTCTTTTTCATTTGTTGTAGTTAAGCAATAGCGAGCCTCCAACCTGTGAAGATTCCCAATCCAGTCCATAAAGAAACCTATCCCAGGCCCTACCCTTCCCTAATCAATTCCAGCCAATTTTTACATTTCATTCTGCAAAGATAGGCAGACCTCTGTGCCTCTCTACACACAGAAAGGGATTCAAATTACTTCCCTTTATGCACTATGTGATCAGAATGGCAAATGGTGTGGAAAGGAGGTGTCCGATTCAGTCAGTGCCACCAAGCACTGGCCAACACCACTTACTATCCCAATTAGTACAGCAAGCACTATGCAAAAGAGGCACCCAACTCAGCCAGCACTTGCTTTCCCAACACCAGCTAAGTCCCCTCCCTTCATGTGCCACTTGCTATCCCAACTGGGATGACAAGCTAGAAAGAGCGCTGAGAAACGGTTCCTCCAGGAGCCAGCCAAATCCCGTTCTTTGTGGTAAGAGAGGTGCAGAGCTCCATGAATTTCTTAGCCCAAGAAAGGAAAAATGGGCAGGGTGGGAATGGGTGATGTCAGGAGAGAGGCAGTGGGGAAAGGGGTCCATCCCTTGCATAATTCCTGGTACTAAAAAAGTTTTTGTAGCCACTCTTTTATATCTCACAATAATTATATAGGTCTGGGTACTAGTTATATATTCTAAGGGCAGAATTTTTATTTTATTCTTTAAAAATACTTTTTAATATATGCTTGAATTTTAGCCACAGGATAGTAAAGCATGAACTGAATTTAATTATTTAGTTTGGAGAATTCACACCTTGCCCACCAGTAAATGTAAGTTCAAACAGACTGATATTTGCAATCAAGGGAGGAAGCACAACAACATGGAAGTCCTCTCTCTCTACAGCAAAATTGTCTGAGGCTGCTGAGATCAGAGGTTTGAACAAGAGTCAGAACATTTAAATGTGTATTCCATCTTGGACTTTGATGAGGGGGAGAGGCATACTGCACAGCCTTATCCTGATCCCCTCCAGGTTACTGTGTAATGACAGAGACTCGATCTGGCCAATTTCTCACCCAAGCTCTATTTTTGTTCTGCCTGTTAAACTCAACTGTCTCTCCATGACACCTGGAGACCTTGAGCTGAGCTTCCCATCTCTGTTTATCTTTCATAGGCAAACGATTCCTTCTGCAAAGCCAAAAAGCATCCCTGGAGTAGTTCATTTGTTCTTCCTGCACACGCGTCCAAGCCAAATTGCCCCGTGTAGCGGCGACGAACTTGCCTGCGCCCGGGCCCATTTCTCTGACAGGGACAAGAACCCCCATTAGGATGTTCGGAGGCAGAGAAGCGGCCGCTGCTAAAACGGCCGCCCCGGGTCTTAAAGGCTCCCGGGTGTCCCTGAGGTTGCCAGGAGACAAATGCTGAGGCGTGGGAGGGAGGGAGAACAGGGGCAGCGGGAGGCTCCCTCCCGCGCTCTCCCTCGGCAGGGCGCAGAAGGGGCACGGCGGGTGGGCATCCCGCTGCGGGGGACGCAGAGCCGGGGAGAGCGGGCGCGGAGGGGCCCAGGGCGAGCCATCTTGCGACGAAGATGAACCGCACAATGTTGACAGATTCCCGACACTATGGGGCTGCTTCGGGCGAATGCAGAAATGAAAATATTAACATTAGTAATAATGCTCTCCCTCCCCCTCCTCTCTCGGGGTTTCGTCCTCCCCCGGAGCAAGGCTGCCAGGCAGCGCAGAGACGAGAAAAACCCACCCAAAATTCCTCTCCGTCGTCTCTCCGCTCCGTCAGCGGCCCGAAGACCGTTACTGCCGGGCAAGGGGCGGCCGAAGCGCCGGCGGTTCGCTCCTGCTCGCTCTCCTTTTTCTCCTCCTCCCTCCTCCTTCCCCCTGCTTTTTAACGGGCTCACTCCCGCCCCCCCGCACGTCCCGGTTGCCGTGCGACCCGCCGCCACCGTCGTTCTACGTCGTCGTCCTCTCCGTCTTACTGTTCCGGGTCTCCAGGCCGCCGAGTCTCCGAGACACAATAAAGCATTACAAAGCGCGCGAATGCCATCGATAAGACACCCATCCTTGTCGCCTAGAGCGGCGAAAGGATGTTCTCCGCGAATACGACTTCCGGAAGAGGTCGCGAGGCGGGAGTGGGGAAGTGGGAGCCCTCCGCGGAGTCGGTCAGAGCCGTAGGCGTGGGATGCAAATAGAGGAGGGAGGGCGTGGCCAGCAAGGAGACTGCGGGCCGTGCGACATCCGCTCTCTCATCTGCGGCGCTTTCCCGAGGGCGCCCTCCAGACTGCAGTTCCCATCAAGCCCAGCCAGCGGGCCCGCGTTCAGAAATGCTGGGGCTTGTAGTCCGAAGGGCCTGATGAACGCCGTAACTTTGCCTTTCCTAACCTGGTGCCTTCAAGTTACGTTGGACTTCAAGTCCCATGCTAGCTACGGGATGTTCAACTCATCTGGAGGGCGGGGCGAGCCTGCCGTTGTACAAAGAACGGGTTGCGTCTCTTCTGCTTACTAATGCAGCGAGCCCTGGAAATGAAAAGTGCTGGCGTTTCATTATGTGGCTGCCCTCTCACGCCGCGGTGGAGGGGCGTTGTTTCCTTCCAGCTGGGAGGGGTGACTTTCCGCTATTGATTAATCCATGTTTAAATAGAGAAAAGCCCTACAAATGTCCCAAGCAAGGAATTATTTTCTCTCTCTCTCTCTCTCTCTCTCTCGTAAATGTCTGAAGAAGCATAGAATTGCAGTCTAAGGCACTTCTGCATTGGCTAAGAAAAACGGATTTAGAAAAGGGTCTTTGGGAAGCGATAGGTGATGGCCTCTGAACACCCCCCCCCCCGCCGCCAACATACACCATTCCATCTTAAGGAGCTTTACTGTTTATGTAGGTAGCTCAAGCTTGCCTAATTTCGAGACATGCTGGATAATTGAACATGTTTACAAAAGGCAACCAATTCTCCCTATCCCACTGGCAGCTTCCAACCTACCAAGCCGTACACGGGGACACAGTATCGGTCAGTGACAGTTCAGGTATCACTTCACACACACTTTAATCAACTTTAGGTTGTGGTGGATTTCAACACTAGGAAAGGAAGCATGTCCATCCATGCAGAATTTACGTGCGTGAGTGTGCACTGTGGGTGTACATAGACTGAATACAACACCCGGGTGTTCAAGCAAGCAAGCAAGCAAGTTAGTTCTCATGACTGCAGACATCGGCTTGAAAACACCCCTCTCCGCCCATTTCCCCGAAAACTCGCTGTCCCAAATTATGCTGAAGGAGGACTAGGGAGCTTACTGTATCCGGTCTCAACCTATGGTTGCAGTGGCAAAACAAGTTATTTAAAATAAGCAAAAAAGTGTAAATAACTCCTGGGCTCATTTCAAAACTATTCAGAAGTTTTTAAAGCACAAATTATCTACGATAATTGACTCCCCTCTCCACAACTCATTTTTGTATAGAAACTGTATTATACTGTCTGTTTTATTTTTGTATGTAGCGTGAGTGCCACCCTGTGGCATGTAAAAATACAGTATTTTTGTATCTAGTACTATAGTGAATTTCTATGTGAAGCTGCTGATATATCACTAAGGAAATAACTGCTGTTAAGTAGTTGGATATGAATGCATGTTGTATACCCCAGATTGTGGTGTGTTTTTGAATTAAATTTTTAGATGTTTTCCAACCATCCCATATTCTTGCTAAAAAGTGATATTCCACCTTGTTTTAAAACATTATTGAAGTTGGTTTTATTGTATGTGGTTTGGATATGAAAACAACTCGACAGGAAGGAGAGATTATTTCAGTTAAGATTGTGGCACAGATGGAAAAGATTAAATGTATTCTTTCCAAGTGCCATAGGCTCTGATTAATTCCCCAAGTTGCTGCTACTTTTTCTGGAGCCGGGGGGGGGGGGTCATAAAACATGTTTGCCATCATGCATAGTTTGATCCTAAGGTCTAAGCACACATGAGTCTCACTGAATTCTGTGAGATTTATTTATGACTAAACATGCTTAAGTCATGATCCATGAGTTAGTTGAACAAAATGTAAGCACAATAAAGTCCTGAATCTACAGAGTTCTTTTGCTGGTTTGTTTAACCAGCTACTATGCAGGTGCTCACACCACCTGCATACAAATGATTGTGTAGCATCCAAATGTGGCTTGCTTGTAAAACCGATGAGGTAAAGAATGCCACCCAAACTTTAACCTAAATCTAGGCACATACACAAGATTACTTTGTGCACTCATTATCCCTTAATATACACAAACTCTATCATCATTTCATTTTACCTTTCAGTGAATGGTTTGAAGAAGAGATAAAGAATTTGGTACCTTCAGATGTCTTGTGTGCTCCAGCTCCCATTATTCCCAGCAGCATCATCAGGGGTATATGGAAGCTGTAGTCCAAAGCACCTGTAGGTTGCTAATCCCAGATATAAGGAAGGGTCAAAATTAATATTGATTTGAAGCATAGGAAATAGGATACTGAGTCAGTTAGTTAAGACAGACCACAAGGGTATCATAGTGCCAGATGTCTATTTCTTGTGCAGTATCAGTAAAATCATAACCTTGATCTTCATGTTGAGAAACCTAGAATTACCACATCACAGGTCTCCAAGCAACTGGCACCATTTAAAACCCCTTCTCATGCCACCTCATGGTGTCAAACCGCAATCAATTCTAACCTGAAGCTATCAAAATTACTACATCTGGCACCGTGAAATCTGATCTCTGCAAATCTTAGGAATTTCTAGCTCACTATAACAGGCAGTTAGACCTCTTTAGATATTTATTTGCACTACTGATGCTTCTTGTTCAGGAATTGCTAAAATGCCTCACCCACCCACAAGGCAGGGCATTATTTATAAGATCGTGTTCTTATTTATGCTGCATGCAGTGTCTGGGCTGCATGCACCCCATGCTCTTTTGTGGTCCCTATCCCCCTCACTTCCTAAGAGTGTTGGAGAAGCAAAACAAACATAGGTGGCTTACTGCTTAAATTTGGTGGCAAACCAGTACAAAGTCTTAGAAAGGATTAGTTTAGCTTGTGTTTGCCGGCAGATCACTAAATTCAGCAAAGCAATAAGCAATCCTGTACGTATGTGTGTATCTGTGTGTCAGTGTTGAAAGTGGCTCTTAAGGCCTGCTGAAGTTGCCTTTCACCGCTATATACACTTACCTGGGAGTAATCCTTCTTGAACTCAGTCTTACTTCTCAGTGTTAAAGCACTGATCTTTAAGGCACAAGCCCCCAACTTTTGGGGATCTGTGAGCACAAACACAAAATTCCTACAGTGGATTACCACTTTGGCGTCTGCCAGTCACATCTGTGACCATTAGGCAGTGTCTTATTCAGAAAAAATGTCTAATGTGTATTATACATTTCAACATCTCTTTAACAAGAGATAGTTGAATTTGGCTGATTGCTGGTGGTACAATACAGGTAATGCTTCTTCTAAAGATATCTTTTGGCAATAGCTAGTGGTTGCTTCTCTTTGATAAGAGATTGGCATTGAAGCAGTTTTTAATATTCTCTGATTTACATTCTCTTTAAAATTAGGTCTCTGCTTCATGGAAATTAACAAATTAATAGAATAAATGGGTTCTACATTTCAAAATATTGATATTACAGCACTGGAACCCACATCCTATGATGCAATAGACTGAGGACTGTACAAAGATTTCAGTATTTGAATAGGTGGCATTCAGGTGCCACCTTCACTGGATAATTCTTCAAATATTTGGTCTCTGGTCAATGCTTATATACACTTTTTATAAAGGTGGATGCATTTTGTACAAGTGGATCAATGTATATTTTTAAAACTGCAAAAATAATAAAACAATGTCCTGGTAAGCACCACTTTGGGAACCCCATTTTTGTGCCACTAGAGGTTCCTTTGGGTGCTGTCCCGGGCACTTCTGCGTTAAGGTACCACCAGTAAGTAGCTTGAGGAAATTGCAGTGGGCTCAAATGAGTTCAAATTTTCAAGAATCTGATCTGTGGATTCTGCAGTGGCCCAGCTGTTCCCAAGTCATATAGATTCCACAGACTTGTGTGCTAATTTATTTAGTTTTCTGTAATTATATACAAATTTAGGCACAGAAAAATTACAGAAAATGCAGGGAGGGGGAATCAAACTGAACCCTTCACTAGGGGGTATTTGCATACTTTGGAGGGATTTGGGGGAGTGCAAATTTGTGAAAATCTTTATGAATGCATTTGTGCAAACCCCAGCTCCATCAATGAACAGATAATGGAACAAAAGACACCTTTCGTATTGCAAAATATAGACAGATTCTACAAAGTCCTTACATCCCTAGCCACTAGTCTGCTTTTTAGTTGAGGTTAAGAGGTCATAAGCATATATTCCCACACAACCATGTTTCTTAATAAATTTCCTCCTCTTTACACTATTTAGACCGAAAACCCTTTCACTGAATTCATGTACATATTCAAAAGAGCCTTACTTTGAGAAGTGAATTTCACCAGGTAATTTCACTGTGAACTCCTTATTTTCTCCAAAGGGAAAATACAATAAAAGCACCCAGGTATTGAACACAATAGAAATTGCACATACATGCACGCGCGTGCACACACACACACACACATACACAGAGTAAGTGAAGCGGAAATTTAAAGCCCCTCTGCTGGGAATAACAGTATAAATAACTGAAGACGTCTTGTAAACAGTGCGGTCATAACCTCAAAACGTTAAACAGTTCTCTGGGATCTGGCTCATCAGCTGCCT